GCCCATTTCGCTATTTGAAATGTAAATTATTTTTCAAAAATCAAGTTTTTATACTAAAGAAGACAAAACATTTGAAAATATGGAACCGAAAGCCCTAAAAGCACATTAAGGGGAGATAACATCTAAGGTTGACAACGTTGAAGAAATCAGAAATGTCGTTTCTAAATACTAAGAAAGCTGTTCACATTAGAAATATTGTTTTCATTAAAGGAACAAGTGAATAACATAGTGCATTTTTTTTTGCATCACCACCTAAACCCCCAATTTATCCAAAAGCTATTTAAATTGCATAAACCTCAAAATCTTATTTTTTAATAGTTGTAATTTTCTTTCAGATGGCTTTAATTGCAGTTCTGGATACTCTAAATACAATTTCAACCGAGGCGCCTTCTATTAAGAAAATGCCAATAAAATAATCAGATTCAGAACTGTGGGTTGATTATATGCTACAACGGCCTGCCGTAAACGTCCCTAGTGTCACTTTGGGTGATGAGGGGAAAACCAAACAAATGTATCCCCTCCTCAACAATGCACATTAAAGCATGTCTGCTGACTTTACATCCCTTCAGAACCAATATGGCTTCTGTTAGGGAGTTTTAATATTTAAATATAATTTAGGTTCAAAGAAATAAACCAGCCTCAAAAGCACGCGGTGTTTGGCTTTCCAAGGAGAGTGGATAAGTAAAAAAAAAAAATCCTGCTTAGTGCACAATCCCACCTGCATGGAAATTCAAAAACAAGCATGTGAAAGCAGAACTTGAGCAACTCCAAGTAGCACAACATGCAAGCTGCACTACAACCCACAAATCATTGTAACCATGGAGGCTACAGGTAAACAAAGAAATTAGTAAGTCATACCAATACTCTGATAAAAGGGGGCATGGACTTACGCAGAAGTAGTGTGGTGCATTTAATTTTTAACTACAAATAGGAATTTATTCACAAGCTGTAAAAAAATAGTAATATTTACAAAAAAATAAAAGATGTAAATGTAGTAAAATGGTAAAATATTTTGTTTTGATGTTTACAAAACCCCCATATATCTGCCTAGATGCAGATAATGTCTGAAAATTAGATTCCAAGTACAGTTCAGAGTTGAAAAACGTTGCCTTGAACGCACCACGGTGACTTTCCCATCGCCTCTATCTGCTTGCATGCAATAAGGCTGAGGCTTTATGCATGATCTGTTACCACCAGGAATAAAAAGTAATAAAATAAAATAATCAAACAAATTAAAAATATATATAGCAGGCCATATGTCGATTTAAAAAAGTGAATTTGTAGAAAAGATCTTACCGTTTCTATATATGAAAGTTAGGGACGTCCTGAGGGCAAAACAATCTCTGAATGAGCTCGTAAAAAAGGACGAATTCCGCTGTTTCTTTCTTTCTTTTGTTTTAGATCAAACTGAGAAACATAAAAAAGCCAAACACAAGATATAAAATGAAGAAATTAATTTATTAAATCAAAACACACACAAATGGAGTTCCTTTCACCAAATGCATGAAACCAAAAAAATAAAAAGAGGAAACACACACACAAAAAACAATAACAACAGAAGGAAGAAAAATAATCAAATAAATAATAATAATAAAAATAAAAAAAGGCCGGCTTCTTCCTGTCTGGCTCTTTACAGGTGCGCCACACAAATACGCGACATCACTGAGTGGAAACCAAAGCGAGGAAGAGGAGGAGGCGGTTGTCTTTAGAAGAAACATAGTCCTGCCTGTGGAATATATATGGMCGCGTCACGGCGCGTCCGTGTCTCCGTCCGCGCTCTCCGCGTTTCATCCATTCAGCCTACACGCGGACGCGGAAGGATACGACCGAGGCGGCTTCATGCGCACRCAAGCTCTGAAACGCTATTGGCTCTTGAGAGCTGCTCGTACCCGTCTCGCTCCGCTCTCCTGGATCACAGACATTCGTCCTCGCACCAGTCACTCAAAGCGACCGAGCATTTATTTTTTTATTTTTTTATTTTTATTTTTTACCTAAATATGGCATTTGAAGTCAAACGTCGCTCCTGCCGGACCACGGATTTATATGTTTTAAAGCCGATTTGAGAGACACATTTCAATAGTAAACGAGTTCCTGCTTAGGTCATTTTAGCGACCTGTGTTGCGTTCAAGTGCTCTTTTTCGCTCGTTTTTTCATAACCGAGCGTTTTATTTGAACTCCTGACGAAAAATAAAAATAAAAAAACAGGTCATTCTCACGTTCCCCTCTTTCTCTTTGTTCACCCTTTCCCCCGTTTGCAGTACTCCAGCTCTTTGTCGTTATTTAACAGAAAATGGATGGATGGATGGATAAAACAAGACTGAACCAGCGTGTGATTGTGCTGCTTTTCAGCACCACAGACAGCTCCGGATATTCTCCCACTGACTGTAAACTCCAGTCAATAATCAGAGTCCTCCACTGTCCAGAAACAAAAGGTGGGCGTTCATTTGGGATTTCCCACACCGATTTCAGCTAGACTTACTGGAAASAAGCAAGATGAGCCGAACACAAGTTATTCCATCTACACAAGTGTTTATCTTGTGTTGGAAAAATGATTGTTAAAGCTGCTTTGGTCAAATCTTAAAAAAGTATCTAGTGCTCATATTAGTATGTCTGCCACCTACGACCACACCAAATCATATCTCACTATATGCAAAATTGACCACTTTAGGGCCATTTGTGTGTTTTATAAATTCAGTTAGTTGTGGCAGCCATCTTCAATGGAGTCGACCCTAAAAGTTGATCAGCTGTAGGCGAACATCCAACGATTACTTCCTGAGGGTCTCACTAAAATCCACCCAGTCGTTCATGAGATTTTTTGCTAACAGACAGACAGGGTCAGCTCCAATAGTTAGCGGTGATGTGTTTAAATCAAAATCAAGTGCTCTCCAAGAGTGCTCATAGTGGAAGCAGAGGCTAACTCATAGCTACTACCTCACCAAGTTTTAGCTTATAATCTATAAAATCAACTGAGTTCTAGTCATTTTTGCAGTTTTTGATTTCAGTCGGCTGGGGTGGCCATTTTACATTGAATTGACTGTAAAAGTTAGTCATTTGTAAAAGTATATTCAGTGATTATTATCTGAGAGTTTCATTCATGTCCTCTCAGTGGTTCATGAGATATTTTGCTAACAGACAGGAAATGCACCATTTTTAACAATCAGTTAGCGCTCAGAATATGTTAGGGACCACTGTCAGCTTACACCACATAAATGTTAGTGTTTGATTTTTTAATTTGCTGTTTGATTATGACATCTATGATAAGCCAAGTTAAATGGGAAAGAATGGTCGAAACATTTTTTACATAAAAACAGAAGCCAGAAACGGTTAAAAGTTGTTTAAATGTTCTAATTTATATTTATGTTGTCAAGATGCTGGAGTTTAATTGGCTTAGCCGTCTTTACATAAACAAGCAATTTGTGTGCTGGAAATTACACAAAGTTTCCAATTTTTTCCAAAAAACGTTAAACCGAAACATTTTTTCAATGCTAAATATCCAAATAAACAAAGATAAAACCACACAAGAACATCCGTGCAAATTATGTCACCATTTTTAATTAAAATTAATAAAACGCTTAAACAATAAATTGTTTTGACCAAGAGTTTTTTTTTTTTCACAAAACATGTCCAATTTAACTGCAGCTCCTAAAATGGACTCTTGGTTTTATTTTTGCGTGCTGAATCAGAAGTCCGTTCACATGTGGGAAAACTAATAAATGTAAATTAGAAAGCGTTTGTGTGGACCTGTGCAGAGAGGAGGGGAAAGTGACGACGCGGAACCCTAAAGTATTGAAAAGTAAATTTTGCCTGAGGTGAAGATCTCTTGGATGAGTTTCTCATGGCTGGAGAAGAGGAGGAACATGGCTGGTGGTGGTTCAGCCGCGCTGCTTATGGGGCTCATCTGGAAAAAAGAAAAAAGAGAAAGAAAGAAAGAAATGATCTGATTATTTAATATTCAACATGTACAACGCGATGAACAATGAATATCTTACCTGTTGTGGACAGCTCTTCACTCCAAACAGGTCATTCACAGAGCTACCTGCAACGGGTAAGATATTTATTATTACACACACAGCTTAATGTAAAACTGTTATGGTTAAACTGTGTCTGTGTACTTTGTCTGTTTGCAAAATATCTCATGAACCAATGGAAGGATTAAAAAATACTATTTGCTTTTCCTGCAAAATGCAAAGTAGAGGCTCAATGCTGAAAAAATATTTGCTGAATAGTTAAAAAAGCTGAAACCAGCGTAAAGTAGCCGAAATTAGTACAGAGAAATAAATTCAGCATGTTTGCTGAATTAAGCAAAAGAAGCTAAAATGATCACAAAAGTGGGAATTTAGCTGAAAAAAGCCCAATGTAGCTAAAAAACACAGAAAACAGCTGAAACAAACAAAAAAAAAAAAAAAAAAAAAAAAACAAAGGAAGCATAAAAATGTAAATACCAGAAAAAACCATGAAAAGTAGAAATGAGCAGAGTTGCAGAAAAGATCAGAACGATGGTTACAAAAGCAGGAAAAGAAAGTTAAAATCAACAAAATAGAAGCAGAAGGAAGCTGAAAGACTTTGAAAAAAGCAGAACCAGAACAAAAAGGTGAAAACTTCAGTAAATAAGGGTTTTAAAGATGTTGAAAAGGGCTCCAATCATTTTGAATGAGAAAAATATGGCCAAAAAAACTAAATACCTCAAAAAGTATACACTGCTGAAGTACCAAAAGTCATTGCTGGGATGTCAAGAAGGAGCTGAACATTTTTCTTAATAAATTGTACAAACAGCACAAAAAGTGAAGCATTATGTGTGCCGAAAAACAAACAGAATGAAAACTAATCTTGACAGTGTGAATGTTTTAGGATTCACACTATTATGATCTTATGGAGTCAAACCTCTTCAAGATGTCTGCCACAGATTAGCAACGACTGTCAGTTTTACAAATACTGAGCCAGAATTTAACTCTCATTAACTTTAACAGTCAACCCTGTTTGTCTGTTAGCAAAATATCTCATCAACCAATCAATGGATTTTGTTGAAATGTTCAGAAAGTAATCGCCCGACGAAGATTTGCGACTCTTTATTGTTTGGAGWCAACACAATTCAAGATGGCTGCCACAGAGAACTGAATTTAGCAAACACAAAAATGGCTACAAATTGGTCAATTTGATAGATATTGAGCTCATGTTTGGTAAGGTAGTAGCTGAGAGTTACTGTGAAAACATATTCTAAGGGCTAATATGTTAATACAATAATGCTTGAGATGGTGCATTTACAAGGTCTGACTAAAATGGCTTTCTTTGTTCTTCATAAAAGATGATCCATCCTTTCATTTTTACCACCTTTTCCTTTCAGGGGGCTGGTACCTATCTCCAGAAGCCATTGTGTGAGACRTGGGGCACAGCCTGGACAGGTCTGTAATCAAAGTGGACAATGAGAACATAGAAGCCAATTAAGCCATAAGGGGGGTTTTATTGGCCACTGCAGCTCGGTTCAGTTCCCTCCCTTCAACATTAAAACATCCAGAGACAGCATCACAGTGGAAGCAGTCAATCATTCTCGTTCGGGATCGAACAAATAGCCTGTGAGCACTCGCTCAGCAGCGAGGTATGAAACACCACCGAGCCGCTCAGGAGAATTCCCCACTCCGCAGCCAAGGAAACAATCATTAGGAGAAAAGGGGGGAAAAAACTCTCACCAGCAGCTCCTGCAGCTTTGGTCCAGCACCGTCTTGCTGTCAGGCCCTCGCAGCACGCTCCTGGCCAACCTTCACCACACGCCCAGGGAGCCGTAAGAAATCAGCCGTCTTCCCCCCCCATCCGAGGAGAGCAGCCATATTACAGAGCACCCTCTGGGTTGAAAGATTAATTAGAGCTGACAAATCACATACTATTGGAAGCAGGCCTGATATATCACACAAAGATGGCTCACGTGGAACGAAGGAAAGTGATTCAGTGAGTCCAAGAGGCCCAAAATACTCCTCTCAGTCCTGTTGAGTTATGGTTAGCACGTTGTCTCCCCCTCCTCCTCCTCCACCACCTGTGAAGAAAGTATTCAACCAGGAGTTCTTGACTCACAGTTAAAGTGTGTTCTTCTTTTTTGCATTCTCTCAAGCAGCAGCTGTTCTCTGCTAGGCTTGATGCCACTTTAGCTGCAGCTTGGAACTCCTTTTCTGCTCTCATTTGTTTGGGAAGAAAAAAAACACTTCCTGGTTGCATGTGCCATGGGCGTGGCCTTAAAGGGACACTCGCAGTGTAACTTGTCATGATTATTTATTGAAGGCAATTGTGTGGAACCCGTCTGGTAACACTGACTTATAAATAAATAAATAAATAAATAAACAAATAAATAAATAAATAAATAAATAAATAAATAAATAAATAAAAGACAATTATTGCAGTCGTTTCCATGGCTGTTGATAATTAACATGGACAAGTTTGAATTCATTTTTATTTTAGTAWAGGAATAAATGACATACTTCTATCACTTCTGTTCGTCTTTTTTTTTTCTTTTTAAAAACATGGGCTGGTATCCAAAAACAGAAAAATGGTTTGTTTTTAGTTCCCAAACTAGAAGTTGAACTCTGTCATCTGACCATTTAACCTCTTWAGCCCCAAGGGGTTTTCTTGAAGATTTTTTTCTCAAAATGCCATGCTGAAATGTAACTGAGTGTATCTCWGCATTTACAAACTCTACTTATAAATCTTGGTATCAAAATAAAGCTAACACTTGGGAGATTTCATTAGAAATGTAAGTATTAATACAGGTGCTGTGGTTTTAGAAATATTGGGGATGAAACTTTTATTTTTTTTTACTTTCGCCTGAAATCTTTTTTTTCATTAGACAGTATAAAACCTATTTAAAACCATAAAGAAGTAGGCTACAAACTACTGGAAACTATAAATTCACATGTGGACATTACCTGTGCAAAGATTCGTGCTCTAAAATGAACTGGAGCAAAGTTACAGAGGTTTTAKTAAAGAAATA